CCGTCGTGCCTAAGTCTTCATCGAGTTCGGGTGTAGCTTCCACTGGTGAAAATATTGCGCCATAACGGCAAGGTCATTTGTGAGTATGCAGCTTAGCATCTGCAAGTCGGTATGTTCGGTTGCTAGCGGGATATCACTGCCATAAACGAACTTCTTCGACGCTCATAGTCGGATGTCGCTGCTATAGATATTAAACAGTGACGGAGAAAGTACTGCACCTTGTGGGAGTCCGTTGTTAAGGATCTTTTCCTTACTTACCTGCCCATCTATATGGACCCGGTGCGAACGGTCGCTAATCATGGCTGCAAAAGGCGAAGAGTCTTCTGGCACCTGATTATTCTAGAGGCCTTGCACATTGGACCATCACTCCAGACCATATCATAAGTCGATAATAGATCGATCAAAACCACCACTGTTTTTCTTTCCGTTGGAATCCTTTTTCAGTGAAGCTAGTGAGTGAAAGCAGTTGCTCGCAGCAACTGCGTCTAGATCGAAAGCCAGCTTGTTCCACTGGGAGGGGGGCTTCAGCTACAGGACAAAGACGCGTTAATAAACTTCGCTCCATCAGTTTCCTGACCTGCACAGTAAAGAGATAGACCTGTAACTGCTTGAATTCTCTGACGATTTTTCTGGCTTTAGGAGGGCTACGACTTTGGTAGGCCGCCAGGGTGATTGAATTATTCCGGTTGTAGGGGTCGCCGTAAAAAGAGAGGCCAGCCACTGCCGTCTGTTTGGACCCATGTTCTTAAAAATTTCGGGAAAATTTCATCCGCACCAGCAGCCTCCTTGTTCTTGGTGGCCGACAGTACCCGTTTATTTCCTCCAGAGTGTATGGAGCGAATAGTGGGCTTGTTACAGGGCAGCTATTAAGTGCAAGAAAATATTCTTTCTGCACTATCCTGCAGGCGGCTTTATCTGTCAGTGTTTTAGACATATGGAGGAGGTGAGCAGCGATGGTGTCAGCGGAGACCTTCGCTACTCGGTGCTTTATGGGTTCAGCTGGAGCAATGCCGATGTTTTGCGACTGGAATGTGTGAAATCCAGCGATTCCACATCTTCCCCCATCGTTTATGCCGCTCTGAATTCAAGGATTCGAGGACAGCAGCTGCAGTTTCAGGAAATTCTCGGAGACTGTACTTTATGTAAACTTCCTCTGTATCTTTCGACCAGCAATGGGTGTAAGTCTTCCGGCATTCACGAGTGATGTTGGTTGTCGCAGCAGAGATCAATATTCGATCAAAAATACCAAGTGTTTGGGGCGTAGGCAAGACCGCTTGAATACGGTCTTCGACTTCGGCAGTGTACGATCACCAGTTTGATTTTCAAAAGTTCCAGCGAGGTAGTGGAGCAGACTGAATTAGCGGTACCTGCAGACCGTTTCGGAGCACAACAGGGCGGTGCTAGCTTTTTTGGCAAGAATCCAAGCACTGTCTTGGAAGCAGGAAGCGGAATGCCGCTGCTGTCTTTGGAGACGAAGCAAAGGTCCGGATTACGGACAGTCTTCCTTCTTGCTGATCTAAAAGTGCCCTGCTGTGTAACATCGTGGCACATGTGTACACCAGCTGCTGATGCCCAGTGAATAGTGATTGAATACATAGGATTCAAAAAAATAGGAGGAATGATCAAACAACGCAAAATACATACAACAATGAAATATTACTTATCACAAGAAATAACACCTTTGAAGCAGGAAATTGCGACGGGAAGGAGCAGCAGCGATATTCAATGGATAATTAATTTTGGCATTAAATTAATTGACCGATTTTCATGTTTCAACTAGTGATTGGATAGGACTGGAAGAGTTATCTAGTGATTCGATGAAAATTGATATTAATAGCCCCATCCGCATTGAAAGAGTAAAATGTAATTTGTAGTCCGTGATTGCTAGTCAGAATGCAATACCTGCGGATCAGTCCATTTCACTGTCTTTTCCGCCGCGTACTAGAATCAAGAATTCGAACATATCTTTAACTAAGATTAATTTTTGATTTCTTCAAAGCTCGTAACCAGGTCTTCGAAGCCGTAATAAAGCGTTGCCATCCGTGCCTTGCTTTAGTCTTTTAACGGCTAATTCTATCTTTATGCCTTATGATTAATCATGTTTGAATATTACAGTGTTGCATATGACTTGTCTGCTATTTAGACCATAAAGGTAGCCTATAGCTCCTTGGTTCGACATTTAAGGGGCTCAAGTCATAATGCCTGTTGAAACAATGGTCATAAACGTGGCACTTTGGTTGCTATTGTCTCTGCTGTCCCTTCTTGTCTTATGGACTTTGCGGTATGTTGTTCCCTGAGTTTTGTTCGTTTTGTAAATGCCTTTACAATTCTTTCTAAGGTTGAAAATTTCAACTTCTGTCAGTTGCTGGTTTTGTGGCTGCTCGCACAAAGTTAGGTGGCGAAATCGCAATAGCTGGGTCTGTCCGTCGTGTGAACAGTACAATGGATTTAACAAGGTATGACTGTCGTAAAAGCTGTTAAAATTGCGCTGTTATTGTTTTTGATATTTAGTAATAATATTGCTGGAAAATTCACACGTAGGCTTTAGTTGAACTTATCACAAGTTACTTGAATTCATGGCTTAAGGTATCTTTCCTGGACGTGACGAGTTTGCTTATTCGGTTCGCTGTTACATCTGAGAAGTCAGTAGAATGCAGCTGGGTAGTGTTTAAGCCTATTGGTTGAATCATGTAATGTTTTTCTGATATTTGTTTAGGCGTTTTTGTTTATAGTCTGAATCAATAACTTAAACTGTGCCCCCTTTACATGAGAAAATTACTGAGAACTACGGTACCCCCTTTGCAGATCCACCGCCAGAGTCTGCTTGAAATTAACCGGTCAGACGCCACTGTGAGGACGGGAACCTGGCAAGAAGCCCAAAGTGCTTAACTGATTATTAAGTGTCAGCCATCTAGTGTTAGATATGTTTATTGCTTTAAAGCTAATCGATAAAGATAAAGGATTTTGTTATTTCACTTCCAGAAGGAATAATTTAAAGGCACTGTTGGTCGTTATTCCAGAAAAAACGAAAAGTTACCCATCGGTCAGCATTCGACCATTCTTTGTTTTAGCATGTGCCCTTTAGCAGAGGTCCGCTAATCGAGTCAACCTCCTCCACATTTTTCTGTCATTTGTTATATCTTCAAAGACTCCTCGCAGTTTCATATCGTTCTTGACGTCACGCCACCTTTTCTTCGGTTTTGCCCTTCTTTTCTTCCCTGGCAGTATCAGTCTTTGGACCAAATTTCCATCGTACTCGATGGGTCTTCTTTTCGCATTATTGAGCCAGTGGAGTCTGCTTTCAATGAACTTTTCTGAAATTGGTGCTACCCCTAGAGTGCCTCCTATGAAGCTGTTTCGGATGTGGCCTTTTCTGCTAATACCAACATCCATCTGAGCATTCGCATTTTTACCGAGTTCAACTGTTGCTGGTGTCTCCTCAAGGTAGCCAAACATTCCGCTCCATACAGAAGCGCCGGTTTTACTTTCGCTACACCGTCCCTTTCAGTTTGCAGGGCATCTTCTTGTCGCACAGCACTCCGCTCGCTATTCACCACTCACTTCATTCGCACAGTACTCCGGTAAGCGTTGAACTTACCTTTACATTTTTAACTTAGTTTGTTATTCCTTGTACACGATCGTAAAGAGTCTTATTTTTTAACAAACAAAACAAATAAAAAAGATGCAGTAATCTAATCGTGATGACAGTAGATGGACCACGTACAGTATAAGTGAAGCAACGAAGGAGTAACAGACTATAATCGATCAGATGAGCAGCGAATTGACCAGAAGCGTTGTTACACACCGACTAAAACCAGCAGTCACCTGTTTACTCTTTCAGGGTTTGAAATGGCGGGCTTTGATGAAGAAGCATCTATAGAGCTCCATGCGGATAGCATACTGACTTACTGAGGTCTTACGTATTGCTTGCATCACCATTCATATCCGTCCTTTTTTTAATGGTTAATGACCTTTACTGTAAAATGTTGAAGAGCTTCTATGATTGTGAACAAAAATAACAGTACTTTCGCTATTCTTTACATGGCTAAAATCGTCTTTGAAGATATCATCGATAAGGTTTCGGCTATTGAGCTCGTTTCACCACAGTAACTCAGTTGTGTAACCGTCAAGAAAATTGTGTATGATCCCAAAACAGTTCTTCGTGTCCTTTCTCATTTGGGGCTAAGTCTCCATTGTCTCACTGTTGGCCTGTATTTGTTCCACCTTTTCGAACGGCTACCGAGTGATCTTTCAGGATCTCGCGGGTACCACTTGGCTATGGCACTGTCCATCGGTTCTAGTTAAATCGAGCCATGTGCGCAGCTTATCGCAGTTCCTTTTCCCGATTGCTACTATGGTTCCTCTACGTTGTTTACTAAGATTCTTTCAGACTAATTTTCTGCCTAGCGAAGGCACTCAGAACGTGGTTGCCAAGGCAAATGTCCAGTATTTTTCCTGGCGTAGCTAGCTCAGTCGCATCTAGCTGATGCTCATGTTTTCCTACCGCATAACATCGCCGAACGTACGGATTTTGTAGAGGTGGGCTGCTGTTGCCCTGTTGATGTTCCCTAGCAGAAAGGTTTTCACGGACCGCAACTGACGAGATTTCAGCCTTCTAAACATGATAGAAGGCACCTTTCCGAAGCTTTCCACTTATCCTGTAGGCTCTCCCATTACTTGCCCTTTCTCTAGAATATCTGTTCTAATGTACTTTTTCTTCGACTCTGATTTTAGTGCTTAAAATATTGCATTTCACTAAGACTGCAGGCAAGCATTGTGATACCAGATCTGTGCATGGATCAAGTATGAAAGAAAACTTGAATCCTGATCAGCTCATATGGAGCCAGCATTCGACCACGTTATTTTGAGTCTGTTAGATTATGTCGTAAAGCTTGAAGAAGTGAAATATTATGTTTGTCTGGCATATCTTTGCAACCACAAGGCACTGTCTGAAATCATCAGAAAAGTAAAAATCGCGTGAGACACTGTGTAGGATTGGAAATGTTCTTATCCTGGAAACTGCTCCTTTCCTCGAACCGTAAGTTTTCGATCAGTGTGTGCTTCTAGTGCTAACCTATGGATGCGAAATTTGACCGTAAGCCTGAATTCTATTCATAAGCTGCATTAAACGCAACGCTACAGTATGGAAAGGTGTTTGTAGCGAGTAACAAGAATAAACTAGCCAGGGAACGAATGGAAAGGAGCACAAACAGGCGTATGCGATGTCGTTGCACGAGTGAAGAAAGTAGGTACCAATGTGCAGGACACCTTGCAAGAGGAACCGTAAGACAGACCACAGAAACAATGGATTGGATTACAGGAGACATTAAACGGCCAACTGGAAGACTTCCAGATCATTGATAGCATAATTTGAAGAACATCAATGCATTAAGATGAATAAGAATCGCAGAAAGCAGAAATTTATAAAACCTTTTTTAAGTCGTCTTTCAGCAGTGAATTATAAGAGGCTTATGATGGTGGGACTCTGTCATAAAATAAATAAAGCGAATACAGTTAAGTTTATTGGTTATATTCACTTCATTTTCCATAACCGCTTCTCCTTTCGGGTTGCTGAAGCAGATGCGTCAGACAGTGATTCCAACGTTCCCGATCCTGACCAGAGTCGGAGCTTCGGCAGAAGATAGCTGAAGTCTGGAAAGGGCTCTTTCCACATATTTGCACCAGGTTAATCTTAGCGGTCCCCTGGCCTTTCTGTCGGTCGGTTAGGCAAGCATTATCGTCATCTTCCTTGACCGTTTCTCCATATGGTTTACGGAATCAGACGCGTCAGACAGTGATTGCAAAATTCCCGATCCTGCGCCAGCGTCTGAGTTTCGGCAAACGACAGGAAAAGTCTAGAGAAGATTCATTCAATACACTTGTACCAGGTTAATTTTGGTTGTCCCCTAGGTCTTCTGCCCGTCGGCTTGGGAAGAAATGGTAACTTTGCCTTCCTTTCTGGAGCTGTTCGCAACACGCTAAAATATCGCTGCTATGACTCACAGCTATATCTGATGAAGCAGCGACTGTACACCAAGGCTTTCTCGGATATCTGTTCTCCGGACCATGTCGAAACGTCTGGGGCTAGCGATTCGTTTCAGAATGCCCATTTTATCCGCTTGTACCCCTTAAGTCATGTCCCATGCCTTAAGTCATGTCCCATGACTCATCATCATAGGTGAGCATGGTGATGATGATCGACGGATGGTCCGTCAGAATTCCATGTTTGCCATATGGAAATTCGACTCCAACACCTCACCAAACTTCTTCTAGGAATTATTTTTTGGCTTTCGGCACTGCTTTCGCTGCCGCCTTGCGCATACCACATACGAGCTGAGGGCTCTTTTCTTTCAGCTTATCTCTTGAATGCAGTCTTCTCAGTAACAACTTGTTGTAACTCTTGGGTCATCAGGGAGTTCTTTTCAGACCTCCAGGCAGCAGACCAACCCGTTGGAATCCGCAGCAATCAGTGGCACCCTCGAGTATGCCGCTGTTAAAGAATTGGCACTTGGTTTCCACATCAGTAGTCATCATCGAGGTCTGCTCAAACCTTCTTACGATGTTATTCGCAAGTTTTTTCCCCGTATCCGCTAAAAAAATCTTTCCTATTTATATCTTGTTGCTTCTGCTATCAGGTCTTGGTAGCACCCTCTCACAGCATAGGGTGCCAACAACTTTTGGTCTGAATAGCAGCGATAGTATCATTAGCCAGATTGTTTGGAAGAATTAAAGGAAGAAAAGGTGCTGTTACTCAAATGTTACGTACTGGATTTTCATAAAATCGTACTATTTCTTTTGTATATTATGGTCATGATGACGCTGGTGGTCTGCTTCAGAACGCGTCTGTAATAAAGTTTTTTTAACATTGTCATTTTTAAGTGTTATCTTGAAACATGGATCGAGATACGAAGACTTTCAACTGGCAAAGCAGCTTGGTAGATGTTTTGTTGTAAATTTTGTTGATAGATTGTTTAAGCCCTGAAACGGGAAAGCTTCATATAATCCTATCTGTTAGTCACCACCAACGCTGTTGTTGCCATCGGTACAAATTGTCGTAGTCCTAATAATCTGCTTATCCATTTGATGGAAGCTGTGTTGACACCATTAATAGGTACATAACACAACAATACGGAGACGCGCGGATTCGAAAATTAGAACACCATATTTCCGTACTGCTTTATAGTTATTATGAAGTTTTATAACAGTTTGTGGCAGGTTTTATTGCGTGCCTATTTTCAGGATGGCGATTACAACCGTGACATTCCGTCTATGTACAACGAAGGACTAAACAAGTCGTCGGCAGCTGTGAGACTGAAATTTACTCAGAAACCTGATGTTACCAAAATGAACAGTGCGAACGGCCTGTGCAGGCGTTGCAGTCAAAACCTCGTTCTCAAAGTTCGGCAACTGTCGAAGTTTGTACCATCATGTGAGGTAGAAATTTAACTTTATGATTTGCACTAGTTGGTGATTTTGAGTCAACTACTAGGTAAGCTAAGGCGGATAGCAGCCATAGGATGTAGCATCATGCACCATTGCCTTACATCTTAACCACGCCACAACATAATACTGTCTTTGTTGTTTGTGACTCTATATCTCAGCTGGTTGCACTAATAAAGAGTGGGTGAATTTCTTGCTGAAGAGAATTAGCAGTCATGAAGAAAGATGTGTACATTAGGCAATAAGCCCGTAGATCTCATGCTTTGGCGTGACAAAACCGTAACACTACCCTGACTCTGTTGTTCGCAGGTCATTGACTTACTACCCTGAAAGATATTTGTTTGTCGATATACACTCAGTGAACTCGCTTATATTAGCGAAAAAAAAATTATCCTTTATTTAGGCGAAGTTTGATGAGGAGATAGAACGGTACCGGAAGCGCCTAGAAGATATTTACGGT